TGCCTGACCGCCGTCTTGACCCCCGGATGCCTCCCCACTTCCCCCGCCGCGCCGGCCCATGCCGGACGCGGCGAGAGCGAGCTCCACCTCGCGCCTCTCCCCCTTGCTCCTCTCGCCCTCCATCTCCATGTGGGCGTCCCTCACCACAGTCTCAAGGATACGCAACGTCAGGGTATCATGGGCAAGCAGTATTCCTTTTTGCACGGCATACAACGAAGAGGGAAGGCCACGAGCAATGTCTTTGTTCGCATCTGCTTCATCCTTAATCATGCTTTCTCCTTCCAGTCCTGCTCCAACCTCGACGTTTCTGACTGCTTCTTCTCCTGATAGAACTCTGTCACTATTTTCCAGCCTTTTTGTGGACTCTCACACGCCAGAATCAAGCTCTGACGGGGGGTACAAAACCTTGCTGATGAGAATATTCCATAGCTTGAAAGACTTGTCTACCACATCATTGCCATAAAGTCTCCGAAGGTCTCCTATATTCACACCCCTTTTCCCGACCTTGACCTCGATCTCCAGCTCCAACTCATCATGCACACCTTCCTCCTGAAAATATGAAATAATCTTACTACGAAAATTATCAATAAAAATATACAAGTCCTGCTCCTTCTTCACGCTACCAAGCCAAGGTTCTATTTCTGAGCCAGGATTGACACGTAACGTGCCTGAGCGGGCAAAGCCCTGTTGCTCAGCGATGGCCTCAGCTGTCGCCTTGGCCGCTTGCGCCACGATGTGTGCGACGCTGCTGGGGTCGTTGAAGGTGGCTGGTTTGCCTTGGCTGGAGGGGGATGGCTGGTTGCCAGTAGGTGATACTGGGTTGACGGCTGGTGGTTGGGCGTGGGTGACTTCACCCTCGTTGATCCTGTTGGCTTCAAGTTCGGCTTGAACTCTTTGCTGGACGATCTCCTCCACTTTTTGTTGTAGTTCTTCCCCGCTAAGGGCGGAGAGGTCGATGCCCTCCATGGTGTCTGTTGTTGTGGGAGTCTACCGATTGCGCGTGACTGCACAACCCCCGGAAGGCTACGCCCGCACGCAGATACCGTGATATCGGCACACTAGTGTGAAAGGTGAACTACGCGGGGTGCAGCAAGCTCTTCCTGGGCGTTACTTGGGGCACTGGGTAGTCGGCCGTGTTAGGCCGAGAGTGAGAGGTTGAGAGAGAGAGTTGGAGAGAGAGTGGGAGAAGGAAACTTGATTGGAGAGAGACGGCGGTAGCGGTGGAAGGAGAGAAGGAAGAAAGAAGTGTGGCGCAACACGCACGCAAGCCTCATCGTTCCAACCGCGCCAAAAGGGTCCCCGTGACTGCGCTGGTGGTACTCTACAACACGCGAAATTCCCAACACGTATCCCCTTGGGATCCTCACGACCAGATACTGCTGCGAGTACATCAACACATAAATTGAAACAAAAATAGTCTTTTTTTTTGGAAATTGTTCTTCGTTGTATTTCTTGCGAAGGCGTTATTCGCGCGGAACACGTCCCAGGGGCATAGTGCCAGTTTGTGTTAAACTTTGGGCGTCAAGCACGAGCGCAACTGGTGGATAGGTCTATCTTCTTGGTTGATTGCCTTTCATTTTTGGGTGTGTCTATTGACACCGTTCCAGAGAGCCTGACAGGCTCGTTCACACCCTGGCCCTTCGTGTGCCATCTAGCCGTCGGCGCCGAGCCGCCTCGGACCCGGCCGCCAGCCAGAGGGCCCACGACCGGCTGTGTCGCAGCAATCGTGCGCCAGAAGCAGCCGAATCGTGCACCCGTGGAGGTATACTGTCCGACACAGTAGCCCGGGCCATTGCGTCCGGCCCACCCAGGGAGCTGGCAGAGGAGCCCCCGCGGCCGGTCGTCGACGTACGAAGTGCCGGAGCGGACACGGGCGCCACCGGTACGGTGTGCCCGCCCCTTCCTTGCGAATGCGGCAGTCTTGAGAGCCTTCCGGTACTGGACAACAAGTTGACTTCGCGGGAAGAAAGTCAACCGCAGATTAACGTTGGCCAATTCAACGTGGATCTCACGCCGTCTACGGCGTCAGTCCACATGCCTTGACCATTGGTATAGCAGGCGGCAGTTCGATCCCGGATTTAGTGTTTCAGGCGTCCCAACCCGGCACCTTCCATTGGCCCTACCAAGACGGCTCTCTCTTTCCTCCGCTCCGAGGGAGGAAGAGAAATAAATGAAAATTGACTGTACCCTGTCGAAGGCCTCGAGTTGCACAGACGATGGAACTACTGTAATCATGTAATCGCTGATGTTGGTTATCAGGAAATGAGCAAATAGAGAGCTCATCTGTCTCCTTTGGTCTCGAAGCCTCAAGACATCTCCGAGGCAGCAACATTTTGGGAGATGATACGTACCGCGGCAGAAGGTGTGTCTATCTGTTCATCATGTATCGGCGTGCGGCGGCGGGGGTGAGAACCTGGCCGGCGAGAACCTACCTGGTGTGGAATGGAGTATTCCGGGACATGTGGAAGAGAAATGTGCGGCTTGTGGGTTATGGAACGGAGCTAGAAACAGCTATCGCCTTGCCTTGGTCTCACCCGCCTCGAAGTTTAAGGTGTGTGGTGAGGGGATGGCATGGGGCTTTGTTTCGGCGGTGAATACACGA